CCCCAAAACCCCAAAACCCCAAAACCCCAAAACCCCAGAAGTTATATATTATTTTCAGCCGTATTTAATCATTATTTGAACACTTTTTGAATGGTAAAGGAACGCTTGAACTATGTGCCTATTGGGCCTCCTGTTGCATTATTATTGTTAAAATTGCTTATCCTTGGATATAGATCCCAACAAATTTGCTTATATTCTCCAGAAGACACTTCAAATCAACAAATATTTGTTCAGCACAGTGATATTATAGTAATTTTGCTTTAAATTTTCTACAGAAATACTTGGAGTCCAGAAGGGGGCAGACAAGGAGGAGATAAAATCAGCTTACTTTAAGCTCGCCAAGAAATATCACCCTGACATTTCAAGTGAAACTGAAGCCAAAAAGAAATTTGCCCAAATAAAGGAGGCATATGAATGGTAACTTCCTTTAAAATAATCTTGGCCTAGCCTTAATGATGACAGTCAGAGGGGGAGCTACGACTTTAACAAGCAGAGCCAGGAGTTTCGCCAGAGCTATTCCCAGAAGAAATCTCAGGATGACTTTTACAAAAACTTTAACTTCAAAGAATGGAGGGCTAAGCATGGTTCAAACTACAAGCCGAAAGACAATTTTAGCGAATTTTATGAAGATTTTGACGACTTCATTAACTTCAGGAAAAGCAAGGCTTCTGAACAAAATAACAGGAGTCAGTCTCAGAACAGAGTGATTAAGGGCAAAAATGTAGTGATGCATATAAGTCTTTCCTTCCTTGAAGCTATAAATGGAGCTAAAAAGGAGGTGACTTATCATAAGGATACTATATGCACACCTTGCAATGGATCAGGCAAGGAAAAGGTCAAGAATTATTGATATAACTGTGGAGGCCAGGGCTATGTCAGGGTCAGAAGGAACAACGGCAGGTTTGGACAAGTTCCATGACCAAAGGTAGCATATTTGAATCTGATTTGTAGTGTTCCCATTATAACAAAAATGCTAGCAGATGATCGTAAGTTTTGAGTGTAAGGTTTAAAGACATTGAAGAGGCAAAGGAACTCAATATGTTAAGGTTACAGATCTTATAAGGGTAACGTACAGCTTATTACGATAGATTCCAAAAGGAGTGAACACTGGAGTAAATCTGAAATTAACTAAGCGAGGAAATGTTAGCAAAAATGGTCCAGCAGGAGATCTTATATTGAAAATTGATGTTGATGATCATGATTACTTTAATAGAAAGGGATTCAATATTCATACAAAACAAAAAGTAACTGTTGCTGAAGCATTATTGGGAGCTAGCTTTGAGATTGAAACGATTAGAGGTCCATTGAAAATTACGATGTCTCCTGGAATTCAGAGCGGAGAAGTCAAGAAAATTGTTCAATATGGAATTAATAAATTACCTCCTCTTCAGAAGCAAAGAGGCCATCATTTTGTAAAATTTGAGTTAGAGGTTCCAAAGCAGTTGACTGAGGAGCAGAGGGATTTATTCATGGAGTTTTCAAAAGTAGAGAAGAAGATCAATCAAGTTTACTAATCTATAAGGAATTGCATGAGAACACCCTTAAAAATATGTCAATATTTCTTATAACTGTAGGGGTTTTGGGGTTTTGGGGTTTTGGGGG